AAATTACTTGTTTTATTAATAAGCTAATAGCCTCTAAAAATTTAACCAAATAAAGTTCATATAATATACTATAATATAAATCAAAAATCTCATTTTTTGTAAAAATTTCCCGTAACCCATTTTTAATAGATCAGCTCCCATATGGTTCATCACTTTAAAATTTCCTGATGTAATAGCTTATGCGCAAGATGAAAGATATAAGAGGTATAAATTCAGCAGCAGTTCGAAATGCAATCTCTAGAGAATTCAAGATCCAATTATCGTCAAGCAACAGGCAAATAAGCGCAAGTGACGTATTAGAGTGAAAAAAATTTAAAAAGAGTTAAAGATTGTCATCGAAAATTATTTGAAGATGATTATAATACAATCGAAAATATTGCAAAGAATACATTTACTAACGTTTCTGATGATAATGAGTCATTTTAGTATTTACGTTTATACAGTGGCTATATGTGATATTATTCTAAATCCGGATTATCCAGATACAGAATGTGCAAAAAAAACTATTACAATGATGTTTTCAAATATTTAAGGTAATATTTTTTTTTTTTATTAATTAACTATTTATAAATTATTGTTATATTATTTATTATCGTAATTTTGATTTTATTTATTCATTATCATCATATTTATTTATTATAATTGTAATCAACTTTTAGGATGCACTTATAAGTTGTGGCAATATTAAACTTAGTGATTCTCAAGCAGTATTGAAAGAAGAAATTCCAGAAATTGAAAGAAGAAGAAAAAATAATTGAAGAACCAGATGAAGAAGGTGATGTAATACTTGCTGATACAAATGAACTGGCAAATTATGATTCATTATTTGGTAATATTAGTGAGTAATTATTATCATCATAACATTACAATATAGTTTAGGAAAAATTTTTTGAATATTTTAATACTATATGGTGAAACATTTATCAATAAATATAATAATTGCTTTCAATAATTTTCTATTTGATTACTTTTTGATAATTTTCTATTTAATTATTTTTTGATAATTCTTTATTTAATTATTTTTTCAATAATATGCTAATCAGATTATTTTCAATAAATAATATTTATGTGAAGTTTGATAGTTAATCACTATTTATCTCTATCACTATCACTCAACGAGTCTCATTATGATCGATATATATCACATAATCATTTCATCAACATATATCCTCCTAAAAAATTTCCTGATGTAAGTATTTTTATAATAACTAATTTTGATTTATTTTTATTAAAAACTACTCTAATGAGATTGTAGAATTTATCAAAAATGTTTCTAAGTTTTGTTGACTATCAAAAATCCAATTTATATTATCTATAAAAGCTAAAGAAAATGGATTTTGAAAGAGTTAAAATAGATTTATTGATTATATTGTTTGTCTAAGAGTGAAAAATAATATATTATTTGTTAAAAAAATTAACTTCATAAAGTAAAATCTAAGTAAATACATCAGAGTAAGGAGAAATTATTACTTTTTGATTAATATCAATTTTTACATCATAATTAAGATTATTTGTTTAAATTTATTTTAGATTTGAATAAATGTCTAAATCTTTAATTTCACTAAAATTTTACTAAGTATTTAATATAGTTTCACTATTTTTATAAGTTTTAATATAGTTTTACCTTTTTTTGAATTTCACAGATTTTTAATAAAGTTTTATTTAATATAATTTAATCAAGTTTTATTTTTATCATTTAGATGACTATTTAAACTCTAGATTTTGTTCAGCAACCTTAATCATAGTAATCAGTCAGACTATTAGTAGTAAATATAAAATTATTTTTATTAGTGAAGAGATTGATAATCAAATCTATACTTTTAGAAAAGAATTTGATATATTATAATATGAAACAAAAAAATTTAGGTTAACCTAATTGTATAATTAAACCTTAATATAGCAAACTCTTAATATAGTGAATTTTTAAATCAAATATATTAAATATATAGTGTGAGACAAAAAAAACCGGAATTTTTTTTGAGAAATAAAAAGATGCAGATCTCAGCCAAATCAAGTCTGATCCGAACTATGTAAAAAGGAAAATAATCGTAAGGTAAGTGAGTATATAATTTTTTTTTGTATTACCTAAATATTAAAATTTTTTTTTCATTTCCTCCCCTCAATATCTTCAATTTTTTAAAAAAACCCTAAAAATCAATTAATTAGAAACGATGACCTCCAGACAAGAAACTAACCGTCAAGCGATCTTACAATTATGGAATCGGGGTATTCAGAAGGCTAGAGAAATCCATTAATGTACTGGAATTTCCCTCATGATTGTATATGATAACCTTACCAAGCTTCGTAAGTCTGAAACGATTCAGCGTGTAGAAGAAAGTGGTCGCCCAAAAAGATTATGGCTAATGCATCAAGAGCATTAGCCCAATTTGTCCACCGGGATTCTTCTATTTCAACAAAGACCCTGTCAATGAGGTTGTCATTGAAAGGAGTAGATGTGTCCTATAGGATAGTAGGAAGGCATTTAGCCGAAATTGGATACCAAAAAGACCTTCTAAGAGCAACGCCGATGCTGATCGCGAACTATAAATGTAAACAGGTAGAATGGGTCCAAAATCATCTTAATGATGATTGGGACAAAACTTTGTTTTTAGATGAGACTGCCTTCCAACTATTTCGGAATACTGTAGAGCGCTGGCATAAAGGACAATGACCGATACGCCCTATGCCTAAAGATCGAACGAAAATCTTTGCATGGGAAGAATTTTGTGTAAAAGGAAAAACAAGTTTATATTATTTTTCTCAAATAATGAATGCTGAATTTTATGTAAACATACTCCGTAGCCACCTTTTAGAGATTGAAGACTTGTTAGGAGATGAATGGCATTTTCAGCAAGACAATGATATGAAACACACCAGCAATCATGCCAAAAAATTTCTTCAGAAAAATTTTTCTGAAGTTATTGACTGACCTTCTAACAGTCCAAACCTAAATCTGATAGAAAACCTTTGGAGTATTATTAAAAGGAATGTGGAGAAGAAAATGTCAAAGAATACTGATAATTTGCGCCGATATATGATCAAAGAATGAGACGATATTCCAGAATCGACCCTAATTGGGTTAGTAGGATCAATGAAACGCTGATGTAAACTTATTATAGAAAATAATGATGAACGAATTCCGTTCTAAAAAAATATTAATAAAATTAGTTAGTTTTTAGCTTCAAATATATATAAATTTTATTTAGTTAGTGTTGTTAGTTTTTGCATAATGTGTATTTAAAAAATTCTGGTTTTTTTTGTCCCACACTGTACTTTACTATAATAAATCAGCCAATTAAATTCTTTAAAAAATCATTATAATTTTATAACAAAGTTGAGATCCAGATCCTAGAATTCATTATATCAAAAATTTACTGTATTATTAATAGATTAAAAAATGTAATATAATAATATGCAATTTTTATAAACCTATTAAACTTTTACTTAAAATATTTAAAAGTTGTATTTTCTATCTGATCCTAAATTATTAACTGGTAAGTTTTCAAATATTTTAATTACATTATATAAATATTTAAAATTTTATTTATTTTATATAAATATTTAAAATTTTATTTATTTTATAGAAAAAACTGATTATTATAAGAAATTTAATAATATATATAATAACTAAACTTCTGAAGAATATAAGCCAAACTATAAAGAATAATCTGAAGTATCAGATGAATTAAAGAACAGTGATATGCATTTATATTTCCAATGATATAAAATTTTAATTGGAAGCTTCCAAGCCAAATAATTTTATTAGAAAATTATGCTTCCAAATTTTTCAAAAATGCCTTCAATAGTGCTTTCAATCTTTCAAGAACACATCATTATCAAAGGGTATTTTTAATAATCATAAAATTCATATTTATGCTTTTTGTCAATTTTTTTGTGAAAAAACATAATATAATTAACTTCTACTAATTTTACAGTAAAATTTATATTGATTAAGCAAGCTTCACTTGTAAAGAATATTTATTTTCTCAAGATCATCTATTTGAAGCCTTTTTATTTGTGATTCTTTAATTGAAACGGATTATTATTTTTGCAGATTATAAAAAGATCAATTATGCTATTATCATAGGTATCTAATTGTGAGATTGGTAATCATAAAGTTTATACAAACAAGGTAAAAAGAACTTACCTGGTATTTCTAAAATTTTATTTTTTGTAAATTTATTATTTTTTTTTTTTTTACATAATTAAATGAAAACTAATAAAAATAACAATGGAATAAAGATTTACATGAAATACATATAAGCTATTTTTGTTTGTTTAACTTACAAATTTCGTCAAAATACATGGGGGGTTTTGTTTAATATTAAAATTTATTAAAATATTAGGGGTGGGGTAGCCTTATCATTGTTTAGTTGTTTCTATACATATAAATTTTACCAAAATATTTCGCAAAGTAAAGGCGAGGTTTGATCCAGAGTAGAGTCACTTTATTGATAAAATGATAAAATAGAAATACAGTCGATCTCCTATATAGTCAGGGCCAAAAAAAAAAAAAAAAATTTAAAAAATTGGGACGACTATAAAAAAGCTATTTTTTAATAAGTTTATTAATAACTTCGGCTTAATACAAATATGCTTATAAGAGGTGAGTGACTATTGTAACTATACAAGGGTGACTAAATAGGGGTTGACTGTATAATAATAAATTATAAAAATTAATAAAATTATAAGAGAATTTATACAAAATGTTAAAGGAATATAAAATCCAAATAAAAGAAATAATACAAATGTAATTTAAATCTAACTAGCCGACCCTCGGTTAAAATTTCATCAAATTTGATGTAATGCCGTCTACCCCTATAAAAATTTTTCGCCAAATATTTCCGTGGCTTACGTAAAATTTCCGTGAAAATGAGCCCTTCACGGAAAAAACACGGAAAACAAAACGCGGAATTATAGGGCCCTCGTATTAGGAATATATTGGTGGTCATTAAAACACTGAACGTTCCTAAAATTGACCGTTCCTTCAAGTTGTCTAGTGAGTACTCCTTCCATTTCACGAATGACGGAAAGGTCCATAATCATACAATTCATACTCAAACTAATAATACACCAATTTTACAAATATTGTTCTATATACAACCACTTTGATGTCAATTCCCCCTAAAAAATATTAAATATGAAGCATATGTGTCACAATAATCAAAGAATCTCGCAGTCATGTATGTCTGTATTTTCAATTTGTGATTCGTGTATCCTATTCATCACTTGGGCAAGATTTCACCTATGTTCTATCCGGGATTTATTACTAGTCAAGAATCGCCCTTCCATTAAAAAAAAAGAAAAATATTCACCCTTGTCTATAACGACTTTTCCCAAATTTTCTATCTTTCGCAAAAAGCGTTAGCTCTAAGCATTTTGCATTCCATCCTATACGATAGGAGTATTTTTATTGTTTCTTCGACAGTTACATCGGTACGACGGTACGGAAGAAATACTAGTTAGCGATTTTCTTTATTGGAGTAAGTAGTAAACATAGGTTAATTCGAATAATAGAAAATTTGGATTTTGAATTTTGAGTATAGTTTTAATCTGTTTATCATATAAAATAAAATATGCACATGAACATCACGTGAATTCAAAATGTATAATTGACAATAATATATCTATCGTGCTTAACACGAAAATTTCAGGGATTAAGAACAGAAGTCTAGCGACGCGATGTAACTGAGTGGATAATTGAATAGACAATATATAGAAACATTTCGAGTTAAAAATCTAATTGAAAGGAAATTTTATAGAACAATAAGAGTTGCATAGTGCATGTATAACGAAGGAATTGTGCATCGAAATTTGGTAATATATTTATTAACGTTTTCAATAATGAAACTTTATCGCAATCGCATTGCTTCAAGCTTATATACTTTTTTAACTTGATGTTGATAGGAATAGGCAATAAAATAAAAAAAAGGTGTTAAAGTATAGTTTGGCCGGTAAATCGTGCATTTTTTTTCTTTCTTAAAATTCCAGATTCAAAACGCGGAGACTACGATAAATTTCGTAAGCGCGTTTTATGAGTCTTTCGTTATTAAATTTCAATATCCCACCAATTTCGTATCATTCCGGCAACACATTTCACGATGTAACACATCTACTAAGCAATCTTTAGAAAATCCAACCAAAAAAACACTGCTTATCATTTAAGTAACAATTTCACTTGTGGAGTATTTGGAAAATTACGCATGAAAGATGTAGGCGGTGTAGGGTTGACCATTTCGATTTTTTGATTACTTTGATTATCTCGATATTTGTAATCTTCCGCAAGCTTTCCAATTCGTTCCTACATCGTAAAAGGTAAAAGTTATGAGAATTATTTCATAATAAACTCAAAGTGAAAGATATCACATACTTCCAAAGCAATAACATGGCTAATTGCAAACTCTGCTAATGGGATTGAAACCTTTTCAACCGGCAGCTTTGTTGTAATAAACGGCCAGGAACGGTATAATCCATCATATTTTAGGTCCATGAAAAATGATTCCATCCATTCACCTAGTTATCACAAAATCTTAATTTAGTAACATGCTGCAAAGTATAACAACTTCTTGTAAGCACATACCCATATTCAAAAATATACCAGCTTCGGCTGGACCACCTTTTCTTTGTAATTGCAAATTAATCGATTTGCGGGCTCGTAATTTTGCTTTCACGGTATCTCTTTTCTGTTGGAGTGGTGTACATTTTAACGGTTTTATTTCTGAATTGAGAATTGTGATATCATCAACTAAACAAGAAAGGTCGGGCCTTTTTCTTGACCCCGTTGTAGCACGGTTCAGGACAAGTTTGTACTCCCTTAGAGGATTAAGAAAGAAGGGTTTAGTTACTGGATAAAGAAATATGTAACAATGCTCTTCTTCCGTTATTTTTCCCATTATTTTGATGGAGCCATTGATAAGCCATTGTATCTGTGTAATGTATCAAGAAAGAACTTTGTGAACCATAAACTCATAGATAACAAGAAGATATGATGAAACAAGCATACTTACAAATCATTGAATGAGCATGCTACATCTCTACTTAGCTTAGTATTTCCACCATTCATAAAGGCATCTTCACCGATGAAACTTTTACAAGCTGCTTCATGAAGGGATGTTGAAATCTCTTGTGGAAGCGGGGAGTTTTTAATTGTATACGGATTTGATTTTGTGATTTCTGCCCATTCTTTATTCGTAAATATCTTAGGGTATGGACATGGACAATGGAGAACCATGATTGATGACAATGCTCTAAATGAAATGACGAAAAAATTTTTAATAAGTCTTGATTTAATCATTTTAAATGTTATATTTCAAAATACTTACAGAGGTTCGTAAATGTTTTCGTAATCTAAACCTACTCGTTCCGCCTTTCTGAGTATATCTTTTTGATAATTTCGAAATCTGTCTGTTACGTTAATAATACCGACTTGCCACTAAATAAAGAAGAAAACTGAGATATGCGAAGTATAAAAACAAAAATCCAACACATGACATACTTTAATTGCTGGCTCGCGTTGCAATTCTCGTGAAATATCATTAAGATCAAATTTTATTTCCTACATCATTCTCATCCTCAAGTTCTTCAACATTTTCATCCACGGCTGAGTTAACATACTCATCAAATGAGACATCAAACGTTTTTGACTGACCGTATTACAAAAATGATTTATTAAAAGCATAATCATGATAATCAATGAAAATAATTAGTACTAAGTTTCAAATTCGCAAGGAAGACATTCAACAGAACATATATGTAGGTCGTTTTATTCACAGGACAACAGTGGCCTCACCTTTTTCATCTGCTTCAGCGGGGTTATGTCCCTTTCGTCCGTTGACTCTTCATCGTCTCGGCAATGTTTTTTGGCTAGATTACGATGATTATCGATTTTTTCAATGGATACTGTATTTCCGGTTGTGAGCACCTGTTGTTCTATCTAATTGAAAATAACGTTATTCATAGTTTTTTTTGTCTTATGAAATTTTCAGGTTAGAATCTCACCTGATGCTGATGAATCTCGATCTTGAAACCTGTATCATCCGGTTTTGTTCTAATATTAGCAGTCCAAGACTTGATAAAATGTATATAATTAGTATAACAATCAAATAGAATCAAAATATATGAGTGTCGACCAAGCAGATCATCACTGGCAACTAGCAGTCCCAGCTTGCACTCGAAAAGGTAGCGTCGACCAAGCAGATCATCACTGGCAACTAGCAGTCCCAGCTTGCGCTAAAAAAGGAACGTCGACCAAGCAGATCATCACTGGCAACTAGCAGTCCCAGCTTGCGTTCAAAAAATAAACATATACCATCCAGCAGTCAAGGATTTCTTGAGCTTTTCTTTTGTGCAGATCGCTAAATCCGGAGTCTGAAGCTGTGATGTTTCCAAGATCCTTCTTTATTTTATCAAGTACATAATCCCAATCTTTTCGTTCTAGATTATCACGATAATACTTTACAATATTAGGACACGTCCAATCTAGACATGTAGTATGACGATAAAAATCCATAAGTTTGGGTACAGACATGTTTTCGTTTGGAAATTGAGGAAATAAAAATTCTTGGGTTTAATATGATGATTATTATCCACGCGTTTTTACGCGTCTAATAGCAGTCACCGGACCAGGGACGATGATTTTCTGCGGTGATAAAAACCAAATTATGTGTGTGGTTAAACAAAATTCTGTGATGTGATGTGAT